TTCCTGTACAGAAAACTCAATTGAGCCACACATATTTAGCTATGGTTAGTCGTTTCTATTGTCATTAAGTAGATGTATTTTTAGGAAAGAATGAAACCATATGGATGCATTACATTCAACAACAACAACAGTGAGAATAATTAAAAAGATGTCAATTAGACTATTCACTTGACTCCCTAGAGAAATAGATTAAAAAATAAAATCAAAGAAGAAAGCCTAAGAACAAAGAAGAAAGCATAACTTGTGTAAGAGAGAAAGAAGATTAGCTCATTTTTTATCAAGAAAAGAGGACCTACCCAGTTTTCTAAATCCAATCAATAGCCACTTCCATCTCATTACCATCAGCTGTTGAAATTCCCACTTGGCTGCTTACAAAGACTGCCACCCAGCCAGCAGCCTCTTATAAGAGTAATAGCAGAGAAGAAACAGAGGAGAGAAACAAATCAAGAGTGGGAATATAAATATCATATCATCATATAATAATACGATAATAGTATAACCAAAGAGGCAAAGATGAGTAATGAAAAGAAAAATTCTAGGATTCGTTCTTTGAAAGGAGGAAGAAGATGAAGAAAGAAGTATAACCATGGCCTCTCTCCATCTCAGTATCAAGCTCTTGCTTCCATATGTGAAGCTCTCTTCTGAGCCGGGCGGTGCCGCAGTGGGGAATCTCAGCAAAATTAAATCTAACCCTAACAATTTCATCTGCTGCTGAATGGGTTAGAAGTTGGGACGAGAAGCAGACGAGGCGGCCCTAAGAGTATCGTTCGTTAACAGACAAACGAAGGTAAACAGACAGATAAGCAAAGTGGAAGATAGAGTATAATGACTGAAGCACAGAGTACACATTTATTAAGCTATGATGTACCACCAACAAATTTTTAATATCCAAAATATCCTTACCTTGATTCATGCTTATAATTTTGTAGAGATAATACGGAGTAATAATCTCTACTGAGAGTGTTCATAAAATTTTTTGAACTATTGCTATGTTAATACTCTTAACTCCTACATCCACTTTCCCCTTCACCGCTCTTCGTTTCGGGTAACACACCTGTATGTTTCAATCTAAACATAACCACATATGGCAAAAATAATGTTGAGATTAAACATATGGCGAATGACGTACACATCAAGTATTTTTTATTTTTGAGTACTGCATTTAGTGATGGCAACGGGGCGGATCGGGGACGGGTACACATAAAACCGAAACCGCCCCGTTGGATAAATGTTTGCCCCAAAACTGCCCCATTACCCGTTCGGGTAATTTTTATTTGAACCGTACCCGCCCCAACGGGGAATCGGTTTATACACGGGTAACCGTTTCCCCAAATGATACCAAATAACCATTTTTTTGGAAAACAAATAACCAATTTTTAATCCTACTTGTGATTTATATATTCAAAGCATCCTAAAACATACAAAAGTAAACATTTAAGCAATCAAGAAGACTGGCCTAAACTCGATCATTAGTATGACATGCACCTAATATCTCTTTTAACATAATAAAAAAGTAGTAATCGTCCCAGAATCCAAATTCCAAAAACAGGTTTAGGCCTATATTTAGTTTTATGCCTAAAAAGTACGTAGTAGTATACTTTTTAGCATTATTTATATGATATATACTATTTAGTATACACAATTTAGCATATATACTTATTAAACATATATATAAAAAGTTATAATTCATGAATAATGTTACGGATCGGGTAACGGTGCGGGTACCCGCACCATTAGTGAACGGGGCGGTTTCGGGGCGGATAACGGGGCGGATTAGTATAGAACCATAACCGCACCATTAACCATTTAAAAAATTCGGGTATTCCCCGCCCCGTACCCATTCCCTAGTCAAACCGGTTTTCCCCAGTTTCACCAAATCGGTATCAGTGCGGGCATCCAACGGGTCGGCCGAAATTGCCATCTCTAACTGCATTATACGGAGTATCAGTTAGGTTCGAATTTTCAAATACGATTCATTTTTTTTATTTGATTTAGTTTTCATTTTCCGGTAAAATGAGCCCTTAGTTTAACCAATTTGAGTACTTCAAAGTCCAAAGTCCAAACCAGCTCAAAGTTCAAATCAGAGTCTAGGCCTGTCAATGGGTCAGGTCCGGGCCGGAACGTAGTGTTTTAGACCCGAACTCGCTAAATTAATAATGGACCCGGACCCGACCCGTTTACCGTGCGGGTTTGAAAATTTGGACCCGGACCCAAACCCAACGGGTCTCGGAACTGGGTTGGGTAGACCCACAAATAAGTATGATATGCACAATATTATAAACTTTGTGAAAAATAACAAGACCTGTATATGAACTATAAAGCAACGTGCACAATATTGGGCTTTACCAACTGGTTTGAAAACACACTTTAACGTATAAACGGCAAAAATGAATATTAGTATTAGGATATCTCATTATCTTGATCAATATCACTTATACAATACATATGTATTAGTCTCTTTTCTAAAAATTGTTCTAGGCATCCGACTAGTTCCCGCCTAGGCTAGGCGGTGGTCAAGTGCCCCAATTTTCGCGTAGGCACTCTGACTAATTAGCTTGCCATCTAGGTGAATTGGCAGGCTGCCTATGGCTCCTAGTTTCCTGTCTAGAGTGCGTAATCAGCCAACTAAGTCATCTAGATTCGCCGAACATTGCTTTACTTTATAATTTTAAATTTCTAAATGATATAAGTACTTTAACTTTAGCCGCAGATATAAAGAAATGGAGTTGTAAATTAAGATAAAGACTATATATGTTTGTATATATAACAAATTATTATTATTATTATTATTATTATTATTATTATTATTATTATTATTATTATTATTATTATTATTATTATTATTATTACTATTATTACTATTATTATTATTATTATTATAACATAATGATGTTAAGTGATTAGTTATCATATACTATGTATGATTAAATGTGATAATTGCATCATTCATATTTTTAATGTATGTGTATATAGTATATACTATATATGTATTTCATCCACACAAGAATACAATATTACTTATCATATTTATGCAAAAATATATATGAAAATGTAATTTATATGTATCCGACTAGTCCCCGACTAGGCGCTCGCCTAGCCGCCTAGGCGCGAGGCGCTGGGCTGGCGCCCGACTAACGCCTAACACCTTTTACAACATTGTTATTACTGTGTATAATTTTAGTTGAAAAATTACAAATAATAGCTTTATGTATTATTTTGTGTATATGTGTGTGTGTTAGTGTTTTTATTTGAAGTACTATAACTAATCATTTTATTTGTTAGTGTGCGTGTTTGTACTAATACAAGTAGAAAAATTTAAACGAGTTCGGATCCTTAACGGGTCAGAATCCTATATACCATACCCAACCCGTTTATTAAAAGTACTAACGAGTCCAGATCCGGATACAGGTAAACGAAATAAAATATAGACTCATACTCGTTAAAAACAATCGGATATGGATCAGATTCTTGTCTAGACTAGGGGTGGACTCGGGCCGGTTCGGGCCTGGGCCCGGTCGGGCCTCGGTTCATGAAAGGGGAGGCCCGGAACCGGCCCGGGTAACCCCCGGGTCCGGGTCAGGCTAGGCCGGGCCGGGCCTCGGTTCCATTTAATTTTTTTTGGCTTTTCCTAATTAACCCCCAACCCTCCCCCCTCACCCCCAAACCACCTCAAACCACCTCAAATGGCCCAAAATACCCAGCCCAACCCAAAAACTTAAAAAAAATTCAAAAAAAAAGGAAAAAAATAATTGGCCCGGACCGGGCCCGAACCGGCCGGGCCGGTTCACCTTTTGAGGGGCCCGAGCCCGGCCCGGAACCCCAGCTGGTCGGGCCTACCCGAACCGGTCCCTGTCCAGGTCAGCGGTTCGGACCGGTTCAAACAGTGACCGGTTTGGGCCGGTTCCGGGTCGGGCCGCCCGGCCCGAGTCCACCCCTAATCTAGACCCGACGCATTTCGCATTGATCTGGGCCTAAATCAGACCAAAGGGGGACTTTAAAGAGTCAATTCCCTAAATAGGACTAAAAAGTGACAAAATTGCACAAATAGGACTACATTTTTTAAATTCCCTTAATAGGACTATTTATGTGTGTTTGGACAAATATACCCTTGTAACTTGTGAGATGTTTTAATTAATAATAAAATCATTAAAAAATTAATAAAAATCGAAAAAAAACTAAAAATCGTAAAACAATAATAGAAAATTAATAAAAATATTTTAAAAAAAAAATAAAATTAAATTAATTTTTTTAAAAAAAATAAAAAATAAATAAAAAAATCATAAAATTAAAAAAAAACATTACCACCCCTGCCACCCCCCAGCACCACCATCTCCCATCACCGGAGAAAAATATGCCAACATTTTAAATAATGCCATAATGATGGCATATTCAATGAAAATGTTGACATATTGAATAGTAATTATGCATCTTTTTGGCATTTTCAGAAAAATATGGCATTTTTTACCAAAAGTGGAAGAAATTTCACCAATCGGAGGTGGTGGTGCTGGGAGGCGGCGGGAGGTGGTGAGAAAGGTATCCATAATTTTTTTCATTTTTTATGAGTTTTTACTATTTTTTATAATTTTTTTTAAAAAAAAAAACAAAAAATTAAATTTTTTATTTTATAATTGTTTTATAATTTTTTTATAATTTTGTTACGTTTTTTTAAATATTTTTTACGTTTTTTATGATTTTATTATGAATTAAAGCATTTCATTATGAATTAATACTCTTAGGGGTATTTAGGGTAGAAAATCAATGTTTAGTCCTATTTAAGGAATTTTAAAAATAATAGTCCTATTTATGCTTTTTAGGAACTTATTAGTCCTATTTAGGACAATTTCCGGACTTTAAAGTATACGTGTGGAGTACACCACCACTGCTCGAGGGGAGGTTCTCCTTTTTGAATCGTTGAGTACAAATCACGCTATTAGTTGCGCGTGAGATAGGATTTTAATTCATTTTCACGCGTATATTCTTTATGAGGAGTATTACTACCATTAATTAGGGAAAACGCGTGAATGTGTATCCTATAAAAGTAATGCCCCAACGAATAAAAGTAATGCCCCAACGAACTTGAAACGGACGAAATCTCTCTGTTATTAATCTCTCTCTTTCTCCCAAATTCTCAACAATGGCGAAGAGCGGGCGCGATTCGAAGGAGGCCGTCGTTCCCGGAGGCCGTGTGGACGACGTGGAGAAGGTTTTCCGGAAGTTCGACAAAAATGGCGACGGCAAAATATCGCTTTCCGAGCTCAGCACGATTCTCAATGCCGTCGGCCCTGTGACTCCGCCGGAGGAGGTGAATCACATAATGCTGGAGCTGGACACAAACGGAGACGGTTTCATCGATAAGAAGGAATTCGCCGCCATATATTGCCCCTCCAGCGGCGGCGACTCCAACGCCGATGAAAAGGAGCTTCTGGAAGCCTTCAACCTATACGACATCGATAAGAACGGGAAGATCACTGTCAGCGAGTTGAAATTGGTGATGGAGAGCCTCGGAGAGAAGTGTTCGAGCAAGGACTGCAAACGCATGATCAGGAAAGTCGATGTCGACGGAGACGGGTGCGTTAACTTCGAAGAATTCAAAAAAATGATGAGTAAGAGTTGATTAACCGGATCGACGTCTAGGTTCGTTTATTAGGTGTAATCCTTTGTTTGATCGGATTAGATGCGTGATATCGTATTATATTGCTTGTGATTTAGTCCGAATTGTTAATTTGTCAAGCAATAAAATGTTGATATGACTTAATTTGATTTTTGCTCTTATTACACAGTACTTCGGATATTGTGAGAATGTGAGCCACTTTCACAAGAGTTAAAACAGTTTCATTGGACGTATTTTTGAAAGGAAAACAGTTTAGAGCCCGTTTGGAGAACTCTGTTTTCGGCTTATCAGGCTTATCAGCCAGCTTTTTCACCAAACACGTAACTTTTACTTTCGCGCGCTGAATTGTGTAATAAGCCGAAAAAGTAAGGTTGGAGTTACTTTTCTGGCTGTATTGGCTGAAGTTACTGTAGAGGACCATTTTAGCTATTTTTACATATAATTTTTTCTTTAATTTATTAATAAAATATATTTTTAAAATATTTTTTTCTTAAATCAGCAGAATCAGCCAAAACAGCCACTCCAGCCAGAATATCATAAATTTCAGCAGAATCAGCCAAAACAGCCGATTTTGGTGCTACCAAACGGGCTCTTAATCGTTAGAGTACTAATCAGTTTCATATGAAGTTGTAAATCAGATTAAAGAAATTTTGAACACAAGTAGTAAAACTACCATATAACTCATATGTCAAAATATGATAGTACAATTTGTATTGAAGTTTAACATTGTTTTAACTCATATTTCCGGAGATCTCCTACGGTAACTTGATCTATAATGTTAAATTGTTGAGCATAATATTTATATACAGATGCAGTGTGTTGGACATTTGGACTTTGCACCAGATTTTTAATCTAAATTGAAGTTTACATAATATTTTGAAAATCATAAATAATTGTTATAAAGTTTACATAAGTACTGAAAGATCTGTCAAATTTTAACTTAATATAAAGATAAGATAACAAACTCCAATTTCCTTGTTTTACTTTTTTTTTTTTATCATTCCTATTAAAGTGATTTGATTTGATACACGTGTTAAAAATTAACTACTTAAAATGTGGCTTACATTCCAGACTCTAGAGTACCGTTCAATTTGTAAGTCTCATATCACATTTCAGAGTGCCGACCGACATAAATGATTTTATTACTCCGTATTAAATAAACAGGGAGTATCTTCGGAATAGTAAAGGGTAGCCTCTAACATGTGATTGTACTCGAAGGCACAAATGAAAAGCACCCCCCTACTCTAGCGATTAAAGAAGCAACTAATTGTATTAAGTTAACTTGATGAGGAATTGAGGATTGAGGAATAATAGAAATCTTAAACAATGAATTATCATGATCTAGCTGCTGACGACTGCTGTGCCCCTTCTAGAATCAATTGTCTTGTGACATCTGGTTCCATGCACTTCAATACAAAATAGTCAGGGATGCTAATTATTACTACTCCGTGTTACTCAAAAGAGACAGTCATTACAAATCAATCAATCAATCAAATATTCTTTCACCCTGCATGTGGCATTCATTTAGTGGATTTGTTATTTTACTTATACTCCAAGTATTTTTCATATTCAACTATAAATATCACCTTCTAGTTTGTGGAAAGAACTATCATGTGTATGCCCGTTGTATACGTACAGTCAAACCCGCTTGCATACGATTAAAAATATATAATGATCAATGATAGAAATCTTAAACAATGAATTTTCATATATATATATATCATCATTAAAAAATTCGTTGATACTCTCATAGATAGATATTATTGTCACGTTTGCACATCTACTGTCAGTTTATTACTACTCCGTATTACATAACAATGGATCAATGATAAAAATAAGTGCATGAAATGAAAGGAAATTTTTTCCTTGAACTGGAATTTTTCGTTCTAAACTGATCTGCTCTGGTCTGGCTTGATTTAGTCTGGCCTGGTTTGGGATTGAAAAGAATCTAAGTAAAAACATCCTTAAAATGCATATGGTGTGAAGTGGTGATTATGATAGTCTTTGAATCCGCATAGATTGCGGTTTTGATTAGGAGTGTTGATTACCAATTAAGTTATACTCACTTTAAAATTATTATTCATGCAATGATTCAATGAAGCTAGGTTGATCAGAATGAGATGTGAAATGGGATAAGCTGATCATAAATAAAATGATGACTAATAAGATGAACTCTGTAATAAGGATAGTAAAGTAGTAAAGTTCTAATTGAGTGTAAAATAAGAAACAGGTCGGAGGACGTGTTGATTCTGTATATTGTCATGCACCATAAGGGTACAAGATTTATAAAAATGAACCTCCGCAATCGATCAACAACCTTTGAGCTCAACATTCACTTGTGTCGAACTCGATCCCCAACCTTTGAGCTCAACATTCACATCTGAGCTATGCATTTCTACACCTAGGTCGAGCCGAGTTAAGGATATCGGATAAACATTGTGGACATGGACATTTCAGCACTCGAGTCGTGTGCAACTCAAGAATTACGCCACTAGGGACAATTGTGACAGGGTTGACGACACTGATTCTGTTGAAGATGGAGCCTTGTTTGGAATGCAGGAGTATATACCCGATCGGGTATGTTGGGTTACCCGATCGGGTATGAGGTGTTGATGGGTCGAGTAGTTCCCTGGTTTCTACACTCGATCGAGTATTGGTCATTACTCGGTCGAGTATGCGTGTAAGGGGTACTCGGGTTATATTCTGGAGTTTATACTCGATCGAGTATGGAGGTATACTCGGTCGAGTATGTGTAAAAACACTACTCGGGCAGAATTCTGGAATCTATACTCGGTCGAGTATGTATGTATACTCGATCGAGTATACGGGAAAAATTAATGACGGGATTAATTTTTGGGCCTGCGGCCTTAACCCTTCTTTAGGCTTTCTTAAACCTATTTAAACATCCCTAATGTATCTGTAAACACCACCAGACGCTGGAATAATAATACATCTCTCTCTCGTTCGCCGTGGACTAGCGTAATCACACCGATTGCGTGAACCACGTAAATTCTTGTGTTCTTGCTTTAAATTTATCGTTTATCTTAGCCTAATCGTGATCATTATCAACTGGTATCAGAGCTATGGCTGACGAAGGGAAGGTTAAGATCGATAAATTTGATGGTCAAGATTTCGCTTTCTGGAAGATGCAAATCGAGGATTATCTCTACCAGAAAAAGCTTCATCTACCCTTGTCTGAGAACAAACCAGAGACGATGGCGGAGGCGGAGTGGAACTTGTTGGACCGACAAGCTCTTGGTGTGGTGAGGTTGTCGTTGGCGAAAAACGTTGCTTACAACATCGTCAACGAGAAGACAACGTTTGGACTGCTCAAGGCGTTATCCAACATGTACGAGAAACCCTCAGCGGCCAACAAGGTTTTCTTAATCAGACAGTTGGTGAATACAAGAATGAAGGAAGGTGCATCCGTGACAGATCACATCAACGAGTTTAATTCAATCATATCCAGGTTAGGCTCGGTTGAGATTAAATTCGATGATGAAGTTCAAGCACTACTTTTGTTATCATCTTTGCCCGATAGTTGGTCCGGTACAGTCACAGCAGTTAGTAGTTCGGCTGGAACCACTAAGCTTTCCTTTGAAGGTATTCGTGACTTAATCCTTGGTGAGGATATCCGGAGGAGAAGTTCGGGGGATAGCTCCAATAGTTTGTTGAGTACTGAAGACAGGGGCAGAAAATCCACTAAAGGGGGTAACAAGAAGGGAAGATCAAAGTCGAGGAAGAGGGGTCAATCCAAGAACAGGAAGGACATCAATTGTTGGAATTGCAAGGAGAATGGACACTTCAGAAATCAGTGCCCAAAAGCCCCAGCAGACAAAGGCAAGAAGGAGGTGAATGTGGCAGAGGATTATGAAGATGTTCTAATTTGCAGCGTTGAGAATTCAGTTGAGTCCTGGATCATGGATTCAGGTGCGTCGTTTCATGCTTGTCATTGCAGGGATTTGATGAAAAATTTCAGGCCCTACGGCGGAAGAGTTCGTTTGGCGGATGATAAATCCCTGGAGATCACGGGTATTGGGGATGTTGATCTCAGTACCACTTTGGGTACAACCTGGAGGCTGAAAGATGTCAGGTATATTCCAGACCTGAAGAAGATGTTGATCTCAGTAGGACAGCTTGATGAGGAAGGCCATAACGTTAGTTTTGGCAACAAGCAATGGAAGGTAACAAAGGGAAAGCTGGTCATTGCTCGTGGGCAAAAGCATGGTACACTGTACATGGTTGAAGTGTCTACAGATGGAGCAAACGCAGCAGTTGAAGATACAGGGATCTCTACTTTGTGGCATCAAAGACTTGGGCACATAAGTGAGAATGGAATGAAGATGTTGTCTTCAAAGGGCAAAATCCCAGATTTGAAGAATTCAAAGTTGACCTTTTGTGAGCCATGTGTTCTAGGCAAACAAAAGAGGGTAACCTTTGTGAAGACAGGACAACAACCCAAGACTGAGCGGCTGGAGTTGATTCATTCAGATGTCTATGGACCTACAAAGGTCTCTTCAATTGGAGGTTCCCGCTACTATGTTACATTCATTGATGACTCTACACGGAAGGTATGGGTTTATTTTCTTAAAAATAAATCCGACGTCTTTAACACTTTTAAGAAGTTCAAAGCTGCAGTTGAGAATGAAACAAATCTCAAAATTAAGTGTTTAAAGAGTGATAATGGGGGTGAGTATAGTAGCACAGAGTTTGTAGAGTATTGTGCTGAACAGGGGATCAGAATGCTGAAGACGGTTCCAGAAACACCACAGCAAAATGGTGTTGCAGAGAGGATGAACAGAACATTGAATGAGAGGGCCAGAAGCATGAGATTGCATGCAGGACTTCCCAAGATGTTCTGGGCCGATGCAGTGAACACAGCAGCATACTTGATCAACAGAGGACCCTCATCTCCCATTGGTTTCAAAATTCCAGAAGAGGAATGGAAAGGTCGTGAGGTATCTCTTAATCACTTGAAAGTTTTTGGTTGTATTTCTTATGTCAAAGTCAGAGATGCAGATAGTGACAAGCTTGAGGCAAAGGCAAAGAAGTGTATCTTTATTGGGTACGGGTCGGATGACATGGGCTACAGGTTCTGGGACAACCAAAGCAAGAAGGTTATCAGAAGTAGAGATGTCACCTTCAACGAGAATGCTCTTTATAAAGATGGTCTTGCAGCAGGAACAAGCAAAGGCAAGCAACCGGAAAACAAACAGCAAGTGGTGTTTGAAGGGATGACTGAAGATGACATAGCACAACCGGTCGGTTGTGATGAGACGGCTGGAGGCTCAGGAAGCAGTGGGAGCTCAGGAGATACAGGAATGTCTGAAGATAGTGGGAGTGATGAAGACAATGGGAGTTCAGAGGCAGCTACTCCACACATCAGACAGTCCACCAGAATCAGGAGACCTCCTAACAGGTATTCTCCTTCAGCAAATTATCTATTGCTGACCGAGAATGGAGAGCCAGAATCTTACTCAGAGGCGTTGGCTGTGAGAGATTCCATACAGTGGAAGAAGGCCATGGAAGATGAGTTAGATTCACTTGACAAGAACCAAACTTGGTCCTTAGTCAAGTTACCACCGGGAAAGAAAGCATTGGAGAACAAGTGGGTTTTCAGAATCAAAGATGAAGCAGATGGGAGCAAAAGATACAAGGCCAGGCTAGTTGTCAAGGGGTTCCAACAGAAGAAGGGGGTTGACTACAATGAAATCTTCTCCCCGGTTGTGAAGATGACTACTATCAGGTTGATTCTTGGTATCGTTGCAGCTGAAAATTTACACTTGGAGCAGCTGGATGTGAAGACTGCTTTTCTTCATGGCAACCTTGAAGAAGACATTTACATGGCTCAACCAATAGGTTTCCCAGTGAGTGGCAAGGAGAGATTGGTGTGCAAACTCAAGAAGAGTCTATACGGACTGAAGCAAGCTCCTAGACAGTGGTACTTGAAGTTTGACAGTTTCATGCAGCGGAATGGGTACACTAGATGCAAGATGGACCATTGCTGTTACTTGAAGAAATTCAAGTCATCATACATTATTCTTCTTTTGTATGTTGATGACATGTTGGTGGCTGGATCAAACATGCAGGAGATCAACGAACTCAAGAAGAAGTTGTCCGAAGAATTTGAGATGAAGGATTTAGGGGAGGCGAGACAGATTCTTGGGATGAGCATAGTCAGAGACAAGGTGGAAGGTACTTTAAAGCTTTCACAGCAGAAGTACATTCAGAAAGTCCTTGAGAAGTTCAGAATGACGGATGCCAAGCCAAGGAGTACACCTTTAGGGAGTCAGCTGAAACTCTCCAAGCAGCAGTCTCCAAAGACCAATGAAGACAAAGATGAGATGGCTAAAGTCCCTTATGCATCAGCCGTTGGCAGCTTGATGTACGCAATGGTGTCAACAAGGCCGGACATTGCTCATGCAGTGGGAGTTGTTAGCAGGTTCATGTCGAATCCAGGGAAGGAACATTGGGAAGGAGTCAAGTGGCTGCTACGCTACTTGAAAGG